CCTTTAGACTGACCTGGTACCTTCATGGAGTATCTGCTGGTTGCCTGGCAACTGCTTCAGGCCAGGAAATAGTCCGGTACATAACTGCCCCATAAAACTACATTATGTGTCATATTTACAACAAATGCCTGGCAACCTCACGGTAATGACAAGTCTCCAGGAAGTCAAAAACAAGATATAACATATTGATTAAGTAATTAATAAGTTCTGTTAGGAGGGTTTTGTTACCTTTAGACAGAGGACCATGTTCCCAGTCTTTTTGGTTGTAGCTTCATATTTAAAAGCTGGTCTGTACTCCATTTACAACCATGCCAGTTTTATTTCTATACATTTTTTTCAAAGGGCAGACATATATGGATTCATATGGATAATAATAATAATAGCCCAACTGTGAAATGATGCCCACACACTGTAAAGATGTAAACACGTGCTTTTACCATGTGCGTTCTTCCACAGATCCTGCAGAACATGGTTGGGACCGCCCTCATCATCCTGGTGGCCATCGGCTTCAAAACCAAGCTAGCGGCGCTGACCCTCGTTGTGTGGCTCCTGGCTATCAATGTCTACTTCAACGCTTTCTGGACCATCCCCGCCTACAAGCCCATGCACGACTTCCTCAAGTACGACTTCTTCCAGACCACGTCGGTCATTGGTGGTCTGCTGCTGGTGGTGGCACTTGGACCTGGCGGAGTGTCCATGGATGAGAAAAAGAAAGAGTGGTAGGCAAAAAGGGGTTAAGATAAGAGGATTGCACAGCACCACTAACTTCCCCCACCGACCGGGACAAAAAGACCCTCCCTCTCCTCCAGATCCCCCCACCAGGGTACATGTTTGTTTTTTTTCCAAGCTTATTTTTTTTATTTGGCCAAATCCACAGACACCACCTCACCCGTCTATGGACAATTTTTTTCCCTCCAAACTGCTGTTTTTGTTTTTTTTAGTTAAACATATATAATGCCAGATTTTTCTAAACCTTTCTTGTATGTCCTCTTTTTTTTCATGACAACAAGAAAAAAAAAAAAGGTGCAAGGTAAACAACAAATGGATAGATGGAAGAAATATTTGTTCTGTGTGCAAAAGGAATGAAAATAATTTATTGTATTTTATGGGTGTTACGCCATAAGTTATAATAGATAAACGTTCATATTTCCTGAATAAAACCAGCTAATAGGATTGAGCGCAGCAGTTTGGGTTCCCCCTGTGGATGCTGATCTTTTTCCGCCGTTGGATCTTGGGAGTGTCCTGAGAAAATACTCACCACATTGATCCTGAGAACTTGGGCACTGATTTGACAGCAACTCATCTTGACCCTCCAGATTTCATCTCCCCTCTTCCTTTTCCCCTCTGACACTTTAGCTTTTCAACACATCTAAACACCTTCAATCTCAACTGACTGTTGTTCACGGGGAGTCGAATCCAGGGGGGACGTGTACATTGTATACAAAGTGGTGGATTGCAGTCGTGCTTGATTGAAAATTTCAACACAGTTGTTAGCTCCAGGACTTGTTATTGGGCACTTTGTACTGTACGTCTTTGGCAAATGCCTAACTAGTGAACTGTATATGATCGGGGATAATAGGGGGGGGAGGCTCAGCGTTTGTGAAACACCATATTCTGCGATCTAGAAAAGCAAAGAGGACTAAGCAGAGTCACTAGCCAACTGGACTTTGTCTTTGCTCAGTGTTTTTTGCCCTGTGTAAGAAACTTAAAAAAATATTCAGTGTATTGATTTTCAGAAGTTTATATTGTATTTTTGATCATTTGTTTTTTTGATTTTGGAAGTTCATGGCGAAGAAATAAAAACTCAAAAATATAAAGTCACTGTCTTGGTCAAGGTTTTTAGCTCTTATGGTGTTCTCAGAGGCTGGTGGACAAGATAATCAAGTTAATGTAAAGTCTACCAATGAAGCAAGCAACGGAGCATGAACATACAGCACAGTGAAGGCTTGCTGAGGACCGTTGGATATCACAGCTTCTCAGAAAACGGTAACGGAAAGTTCAAAAGTGTTGGCCGCACAGAATGAAACCTATGTAAGAACGATACAAACACCTACTGTATTTAAGTTTCACACAGCTGTTGTATTGGACAGGTGTTGCTGTAGGGTCAAAGCCAACACTGACCTCTAATGGACTACTGTGGTAAAAGTTTACTGCAATGGAGTGTTTCATCATTTTCAGCCATGTCAGGACAGAGTATGATGACTACATACGTACAGCACCTGAAGATGATTGTTGGTGTCATGTTGCAGTGGGCTTGTGATTGCTGCCATGATCGAAAATTGTTGTTTTGTGTGTGTTGTTTACAGTCGTACCTGCTAAAAAAAACAATTCTGAGAAGTAAAACTAGTTCACCATGGAACTTTATACAAGACACTGTGAACTTTAATAAACAGCTCTTACTAGAAATGATTTAGGACTTTTTGGGGGAAATGTTATTGTAATGACGTAAACCAATGAAGAGGAGGAGAAGTGCTTCGTAGAAACATGAGCCAGATGAAGAAACGGACACGAACTGCTTCAGATCTGGTGTAAGACACAAACTCCAGTGAGAAAAGATTAATGAAATATAAGAAATAAAACACTATCCTTTCAAGGCTACTATGTCTGTGTGTGTGTGTGTGTATGTAAATGTTACAATGGATGCATACATGCTCACATTGTACACGTGAAATGTCAAATATATGTTACTGTATACTGTTATTTAACTACTTTTTTTATTACATAAACAATATATTGATCTGTAAAGCATAAAGTGATTTATTAATATAAAGTCGTTTACAGTGTTTAAATATATATAATATAAATATGTACTGTAATGTGGTACCAAACTCTGACATAAATAGACTTATTTAATGTCAACAAAAACAGATTTCTGTGTCCTGTCAGATTCTGAGACGCTAGAGATTCAACTATGAAAGAAAGACCAACCAGATATTGGCAGATGACATGTTAGTTGGCCACCAGTTTAGGACATAATAGCTATCAAAATGTGTGACCCTATGTGTTATTTAAATAGGTTTACACATTTTATTGCAGCTACCTTCATCCTTTTGGCAATGTAGTAGCACTATAACTTAAATCCTAATAAGGTCACAGAGACTGGTAGAACTAGCCCTTAATTTATTTTATGAAGACCAAATTACCAACCAAAGGGAGGGTTATTACCCCAAACCACCAGATTTACTGTGTGTGTCTACTGGTTTATCGGTTATTTGATTAATTGCAAAGTTGTCAGAGAATTTGCATTACTAAAGTACAATGTCAGTCAAGGTGGATACTGTGATACTGCATTATTACTTAATGTGTGGCCCTCTCTTTTACAGGGACCCAGTGGTAAAGTTGAGAAACAGGAAGAATCCTGTATATCATTTTATAATAAAGCAATGCCCTCCTGAGCCTTATTAATATATTCTTTGGAGCATTCCCATGACTTCGAATAAGACTGTAATACAGCAACATGGATGCCTCCATTTATTAATTTAAGTGATTTAACATGAACTAAGCATGCATGTGTGCCTTTCCAAACTCCATTTTGTATTTGTTTAAAGATGTAAAGTTTTAAGGACTTCTCATTTTCACCCAAATAATTACTGACATATGAGGCTTTTCTGGATTTTTTTTTTTTTTCGGTTTAAATGTTTTTTTATATAATTAATCACAAATGGAAACACTATTAAAAAATTAAATTAAATTTAAAGAACCTCCCTCCAGAGTGCCAATGGTTGCATCACATGCTGCAATGTCAATGTTTGATTTTAACTGGTGACCTTTGTATATATATATATATAT